TTACTACTAGGAGCAATGTTCGCTACTAGGGGCTCCTGGCATCGCTATTAGGTCAAGGACGCTACTTTCTTTCTTTGGGTTCATCTCCAATGTCTTGGAGCTATGTGGGCGTACGTGAGGTTTACTCACGGAGGAAGCTTCCTCGCGCCGAGGTCTGTCGACCTTATCAACCTTTACTATTCAAAATGCAAAATTTCCACTCTATTCGAATGGCGCATGGCAGCATGGCCTGGTGGCCTCAGTTATCCATTGCAAGCCAGAAACCGAGGCTGTTCAAGCCTGACTCATCCAGTAGTCGCGGAGCTCCAAAGGTCTTATCAGGGGGCGAGCAAGGCATTGCAGCACACATCAACCAAGGAGTGTCTGATCCTCGATGATCTGGGCCATAGAGCACAGCGGGTCTGGTCAGAGTCCAGCAGGGGGGCAAAGTGCCACTGAAAGACATGTCGTGCCAGATTGATCACATCAGTGAAGATCTGGCTGCATGCACCACAATGAACTGCAAAATAATGAGCCAAATCTTCACGTAATTCCAGCTCTTGCCAACTCCGTTGAACAGAGAGCTGAACTGCTGGGTGAACTTTGGCATCATGTCCTCGAGTGTAGTGGAAGGGTGTGACCTCGATGCGTCGGTTGTTGCGGATCAACCACACGCAAGTCCAGTCTGCTGGCCTCGGGATGGAGTCCTGTGGCTGGCAGCCCAACTCCTTGCCGTCGTCGAACAGCCCCCAGCCTTTGGTCGTTCTTCCAACTCCTTGTAGGTGCCCTTGTTGGTCGTGACCTTGATGGACAATTCCAACAATCGGGACAAATTCATAAACCTCAGTCGCCAGACTTGCAGGATCAGGGGAGACCAAGATTTCAACCACGGAGAGCTCAGGGTGCCAGGTGGCCTTCCCAGGTGCACCCCACCAAGATCCGACCACTTGCCGTGGCGTAGGTGAAGAACTCCCCAACAGAAGGCCAGAAAGCTGGTATGGATAAAGCAGAGATTGCCGGGGTTGATGAGGCGCAAAGCCATCAATGTGCCCTTCACTTCCGCTTGTTGGATCTACCATAGGACGTCCAGCTGTCTGTTCTGATGCCATACGAGGTGGTCTCCACGAGGGCTTCCAGCTCGAAGGGCCAGCCGGAGCTGAAAGTGGTTGAGTGTGAACTTGTCCACGAAAAACGCCGAGACCAGTTTGCTGCAATCGCTTCATGACCCTTGCAAAAGATTGTTCAACAGGTCGGCGCCTTGCCCTCAATTTGGTCTCGCAAGACCCTACGTGCCCTGTACCATGTCTTTCAGGGATAGTATCATGAGGCTCTAACAATCTATCCCTTTCGAGGCACTGCATGGTCAGTACCTCACCCTCACCCCAACCGTCCAAAAACTCTTCAAAAAAACTGTTCGTCTGGAATTCAAGCCACGCTATCTCATCGAAGCGGTCCATTTGGACGGTCCTGGAATTGGGACCAGGCGGCCAGAGCAGTGCAGCGTGCTGCAGGATCACCAGCAATGCAGTCCATGGCCACGAAAGCATGGCGGACCGGCGAGTCTCCGCTGGTGGAGGGCGGTGTCTTGCACCATCTGTGCCGAGGGGCTTCAAGGACGCTACTAGGGGCTCCTGGCCTTACTACTAGGAGCAATGTTCGCTACTAGGGGCTCCTGGCATCGCTACTAGGGGCTCCTGGCCTTACTACTAGGAGCAATGTTTGCTACTAGGGGCTCCTGGCCTTACTACTAGGAGCAATGTTTGCTACTAGGGGCTCCTGGCATCGGTACTAGGCTCCTGGCCTTACTACTAGGAGCAATGTTCGCTACTAGGGGCTCAGCAAGGACGCTACTAGGTCAAGGACGCTACTAGGTCAAGGACGCTACTAGGGGCTCCTGGCCTTACTACTAGGTACTAGGTCAAGGACGCTACTAGGGGCTCCTGGCCTTAGTACTAGGAGCAATGTTCGCTACTAGGGGCTCCTGGCATCGCTACAAGGAGCAAGGACGCTACTAGGGGCTCCTGGCCTTACTACTAGGAACAAGAACGCTACTAGGGGCTAAAGGAACCAACGACCTCCAACGACCAAAAACAGCCAAGCAGATGACTTTCGGTTGAACACTATGGCTTCCACGATTGCCTCTTCAGGCCACTCTGTGGTCACTCTCTATGGTCACTCTGTTCATCTATTTTGCTAAAGTGATTAAAGTGACTACAGACTGATTGTTCTTTTGGCATCCCCTATACCTGGACGTTCTCACATTACCAGTATACTCGTTTTGCCAAACAAAGGGTATGTTCCCCATGGGTGAATGTTGGTTTTCCCTAACTGGGTGAATCCCTTTTCGGCATTTCTTGAGCACAGCAAATCCAAACATGATGTAACATGCACGTACCACATTCCACCCACGTTGCCCGGATCCCCCTGGATTGTCGCAAATCCAGCGGCTGCTTTGTGGTTCGGAAAGAGGAGACTGGGAGACCAGGGAAGAATCCAAACTAATCTAAATGGGATAAAACCAGCGCAAATAAGGCATACTATATACTATAGCTGACTATATATGCCCAGGATATGTCATGAAATCCAGGAAACATGTTCTTGTGTTTTTTAAGTATCCAGATGGTTTCAGCTCGGTCTTCGCTCCAGCCGCATGGGTGAAGAACCACCGGTTTCACCTCAGCAGGGTTCGTCCGAACCCTTCGACCCCGTGAGGTGGGGTTCCTTTCGCTTCTCCAATGGCGAACGAAGCTTAAGTCACAGGAACTCAAGGAAGATGATCGACATCATTTTGGAGTCAAACATCCTTTTGGATAGTTTGATTTTTTAAAACATACGTTCCATATCCCCCCCCAAAAAACCACATGTTCTTTGTCCATTGCCTTCTGGCCTACTTTCGCTCGAAGGATCTGCCCGAGCATGTGGAGTGCCCGAGGGTGTCGCACTCGTGGCCTCGAGCGATGGATCTCCTCTGTGGCTTGGCGAGGGGGCAGGTCGAACGAGCCGGCAGGTCGAACACCTCTACCCGGGAAAACGTGAATAAGCTTTAACTTGTTTTGGTGGGTTGTCGGTTTCTTGCTTTCCCCCACCCAAAGAACAACAGAACGGGTGTTCCTGAGAGATGTGTTTCGTGCAGAACATGTCCAAAACCACAGTTCTTTAACGTGGTTTTGGGCTGAAACCTCACAAAACAAATTTTTGAACCATTGTTTTCGCTTCAACTGTTCGGACCAGGCCGGCAAAGGTTTAGAGGAAATACCAAAAAGACAAAAAACATGTCAATAGCAGCACGAACGACATCTCAAAAAAAAACAAAAAACAATGTTTGAGACAAAATGAGGGTACTTGATTTGGATTTGTTTTTACTTTTTTTGGTTTGCTTTCATTTTGTCTCCAAATGTCTCAAACATGTTTGTTTGTATTTATTGTTTTAAACTACTTGTATTTTTGGTATTTTTGTTCTTTTAGTATACCCTCTAAACCTAGACCGGCCTGGTCTTAAAAATTGAAGCAACACAATAGCTCAACACCTAGGTTTTTGTGAGGCACAGTCTCAAAAGGCTTTTCAATTGCTTCAGTAGGGTTATGTATGTCTTGCTTCACTGTCTTTTTCCAGTTGCTCAAATGCACTTAAAATTAAGCACCGAAAGGAAGCCGCTTCAACCTTCACAAGGATTTTAACATTGCCTTCTTAAGAGCGTTAAGATTCAATCAAAGGAGCGCATTACTAAAGACGCCAATCAGCTAGGCCAAGTTGCAACAGCATCAATTAACTTCTATCCAGGCAACAAATTATTTCTTCTGGTGTCCTGTCTCAATAAGTGTTTCTATTGCTCCAGTTGGCTATATCTGTCTTGCTCAAGGTGTTCTACACGTTCAACGTGCCTTAACTTTGAGCACCAAAAAGGAAGGCTGCTTCAATCTGCACAAGGCCTTTTTTCTTGGTCAAGTTGTTTGGCTTGGCTCTTTCTAAGAAGGTCAGGAGCTGGACTAGGCACAAGAGGTTTGATTGATTTCTATGTCAATCCCAAACAATGATATACAGTTATACAGTTATACAGCATATATACATACATATTTCTTTTTGGTTGCCGAGTCATGGTTCCTGTTTTTCTTGGTTTGGACAAGATGCCAGCCACAGCCCAATTCATACTGCAACTAAATCAGTGTTATTTGGATTGCTGTTTGCCTATCAAAAAAAGGCCACCAGCGAAATCAAAGCAGCATAGATGGAAGAATAATAGAAAGAATCAATCATAACATGTAAAATCTATTGGAACAATAGAAAGGTCCTTTGGGATCAAAGCGAACTTGCTCAGGGGAGAGTGTTGAAGCTGAAGTCTGCATATCTGATAGCAATCCTTTCAAGATTCAAAGCCAAACAGCTCTGACCGATATTGAGAACAAATGCATACAACTTACCAGGCAGTTATTGATATTGAACAAAGCATACTCAAATTAATACTGTTTATCATTGATTTTGCACATTGACATTGCACATACAAATTTGGTACAGGAAGATAGAACAATATGGGTTTCGCCCAGGTCTCAGAGCAGTTCTTCAAATTTTGCAGTGTATTTACAGTGTTTTTGATAGATTTTTAGCCAGCTAATGTGTGCTCTCTCAAGCACACCCTCAAAAACACAAGGTGGGAGAAAAGACTTTAACCTTTCTCTCTTTCTCGCGACACCGAGGGAGGTCAGATTCTTTTCCAACAGGTTTGGAGCGTTTTGACCAATCAACTGAGACGATCGCTGGCACCAGGTCTTCGGTGTTCGACAGAAGAACCGCGAACCTAGACCGGACCAGTCTAGGTTTCTTTGTGGCGGGGTCACTTGAGGCTTAGTGCTTTATTGCAACTGATTGACTAGGACTGGCATCTAATCTAAACATCCTCGTATTCATTATACAAGTACTCTATCTCCAACTCCTCGATGGCCTTTCTTCGCGGTGTGACCAGACTTGTGGTTTCGCCCCCCCCCCACAAATCAGACATCACAACCGGGCAACCCGAGGTCTGCTGAGGCAACGACAGGCAGGGCTCGGGAAGGGATCTTGAGATGGGTAGATGCCGGGCTTCAGGAGACTTTGTGTGTCGACGTGACAAAAGCACATCCAGTTGAGTCCTTGATAGAAAGCTCTTGACCTACACAGGATGGGTTTGCAAGATACACCCAACCCATTCCTCCGAATGACACACTCTCTCGGTTAGCCTCGCAGCTACCTCTGTTTTGCGGAGGCTTTCTCCAACTGCTTGCAGACAGTACTCAGTTGATTTGTATTATGGATGCCTTTGCAGAGTCTGCTACATCCATATCAGCTTTACTCGTCTTCTACTGAAAAGAGCGGGTCTTCGGACACAGCTGAACATTTCGGACACCGAGTTGCCGGGCTTCAGTCCTTCTTCAGTTGGAGACATCAGTAGAATGACCTCTCAGTATATAACACCACCGGGCCGTCCTTTTCTCCTTTCGCAAGGCTGTTCAACGGGGGCCCGGCCCGGTCATGCCGCCGATCTCAGGTGGAGGCGAACCTGAGAGTTTGGAGCCTTGGCATCGCGGTCCGGAGGGAGGAAGACCGGCTCCAAATCGCCTATTTCATGCGATGTCCGTCCTCATTTCTGACAGAAACCTGTCATCATGGCTGCAGTGGCAGCTTCATTTGCCTATCGTTCACCACCTGTTTGGAGCAAGCTAAAGATATCTCTAAGATATCAAGGCTGCTGTAGTTGGAGCAAGAACATGGACATCCGTTCGTGCGTTTATGTTTGTGGGTGTAAACATCATATCCCCAATCCCTTGGACAGAGAGTCTTCCAGTTCGACGGCTTCACCTGGACCAAGAGATGGACCCCTTGGGACCCCCACACGACAAACCTAGTAGCTGATGCGAGTTTCCGTGAAAACCCAGCCTTTGATGTATCCAAAACATCCAGAGAACCCTTAACTAGACCACCTCGTGTGGCATTTTTTTTTCCAAACCAACTAGGTCCCTAGGTTGGATTTCTTCAACTCTTTCCACGGCCACCTGGCGCCTCCTGCCCCTCAGGACCAAGCTTCTGAGCGTCCCGGCGCTTTGGCGCACCACCCTGGCGCTGCTGCACGTGGACGACGACGTCGGCTCTGCTGCGGAGGCTCAACTGAGGCCCCTGGCGGCCCGCAACCGGCCCTGGCAGGCTGGAGACCGAAGAGCACGGAGCCGGGGTCGGTTCGGGTGCAAGGGGAGCTACGGAGCTGGGCTACGCGGCCGCAGGCGGCCCCCACCTGGTGGAGAAGACTTGTTTCATGCACGGATGAGTTGGTCTCGAATGTAAGAGACTAACTGAGTGTCATCAATCATTGTTCTCTTGAGCACCTAGGATGTGTTGAACTCTTGTTTGTTGTGCTGCGATAGCTGTAGCATGCTGTGGAAGATTTGTAAGGATCTACTAAGACCCGTTTGCCAAAGCCATTTGGAATCCCTATGGATCCACATCCCCTCCAGACACCCTCCAGACACCTTGGACCCTCGTCGTACCCAGAGTCGTACCCTCCAACTTCGTCGGTGGATCCATGGATCACGTCGCTCACACCACTGGGTCGAAGAAAAGGATCCAAACACCCGCATTGCGCGATGTGAAGGGATCGCCAAGCATATCGCCCAAGCATGGGTGCTGGTTTTGGTTTTAGGGTGCTTTCTTTGAATTGGATCTCTAGTGTTATGGTGTTTATGGTGTTTTTGTGTGAACATGAAGTCCATGGGTTGCGCCTCTAATGAAGCTCCCTGTTTTCATGTGACAGATGGCTTGTCATGACAGATGCTTGTCATCGACCGCCGCTCCATTGGTGATTCATCATGATCCATCCCCTCCAGCTCTTCAATGGCCAGATCGCTGTCGGGCTGGTCCACCTCCCACAGCCTGCGATGCTTGAGCACGAGATGCTTGAGCTGGCAGCCTGCAACGCGGTGCTTTGGAGAACGTGGAGAGGATGAGTTGGGACATTTTGGGAGAAGACGGTGGCAACCCGTTTTTGACCACTTATAGAGGCACATGGATGGACAAAAGCCACCCCCACCCCGACTTGATCGATCCAAGAAGGCAGCAGAAACACCATTCATATCAACCAATCAATGATGCATGCCTTTTTCATTATTTTGGAGACAGAATTCTCGTGAAAGCTCCCGACAGCGAACATCAACCATGAAACACTGAAACCACTTGAAACCAGTGAAACAGCACATGGTTCAAGCTGCGTTTTTGCTTTTCAGGATGTCCACCTGTCACCTATATTTGTTTGTGACAGGGCATGCTCTTGTATCTCTTGTCAGTTCGAGAGCATTTGGAATAGATGAGTTCCGAGGTTGGTGTGTATTGTGTAGCCAATCTTCAGCCGGTTTGCTTTATAGAAACATGTCCATGATCTGAAGCCGATCAGTTTGTGTCGTCTTGTGTTCATATGTGTTCATAGAATCTCAATGAATCTCATAAATATGGGAGTCGTGTAGCATACCAATTGTTGACACCTATCTTGACTCACTGTGGATGTTTACAGAGCGCTCCTAGCTATATACTGTAAATGGTCGCACATCCTCACATGTCTCGCCGTTTTTTGACGGCTGACTCCTTCGCGGTTTCCGATCTTGGCAGTTCCAAGGGGTTCTGGAATTCCCAGCGCTGATGGACACATCAATCTTCTTTTCAGCTCATGGTTTTGCCCATTTAAGGCACTGGTTACATGTGTCATCACTGTGTCATGCTCATATTTTGGCAGTGCTTGCCACGAGACGAGTGAAAACGCCTGTTCCGCAGGAGGAGGACTCGGAGGACCTCCCCGGTGGACCGCCGTTGAACAACCCGAGCATCGGTCGTCTCCGGAGATCGGATGCTGCGACACTCAGCTGAGGCCATCAGAAGCTGTGCCGATGCGTCTGCCTGGCCATGTGCCCTGGAGCTCCTCGAGCGTTGGCGAAGTCGAGCAGATCTGAGACTTGGCACGCGCTGGGTGTGTACGGAGCAAGAAGCCACGCACGGTTGGAGGCCATCGCTATTACTGTAGGTTGGAGGCCATTACTACTAGTTACTAGTAACAAGAAGCTATCCCAACCTACGGAGCAACGGATTGGTGCACAGTCCGGTGCGGTCCGGTCTCTGGGCAGGAATCAGGTCTGTGTGGCATCAGGGCACGGTGAGGAAGGGAGGGGGGAGGAGAGTTTGGAATGGAAACAGTTTGGGCACCTGGCATGTTGGGCAGTTGAGAACAGTGTGTAAGCAGGAAACGGTGAAGCACAGCAACCACGTTTTTTTTTTTTTCAGCAGGAAGGCCCAGTGATTCGGTCGAGAAAGTTCGGGTTTCTTCGGGTTTCTTCGCGAAAAAGGCGAAGAAGTTGTATGAAGTTGTACAAAATCAGGCGTCACCTGGTGGGAACAGAGGAGCCCTAAACCCGAAACAGTTGGTTTGTTCAGAATTGTTGGGGTTTGTGGGGCCAGCGTTTTTCGGAAGGTCGGCCCTTCTGATCCTTTTGGGATGCAGTGGAACCTCGATCCGCTTCCGTCGCTGGAGACCGGTCCTCAGGTGGACCTACAGTTCAACGATCGTGGCGTGCGGAAGGGGCGACCAATGGCAGCACTCCATGGCTGTTCTGTCGAGGATGGAGGAGGCGGGAGGAGGGAGGAGGCGGCGTTGGTGCCTTCGTTTTCACCGATGTGGATCCGCCCAGCATGTCCCAGTCGAAGCATGTCCCACCATCGATTTCGTTCCCGGTCGAAGCAACGCATGGTGAGATGATGTGGGATGTAAGTGCCAAAGAACTCTTTCTTGCACAAAGAGGAGGGCGAAAGGTACACATACAACTTGTCATTGTCATACAACATCCTACAACTATATAGATCTACATGATCTGCAACAATCATCGTTACGTGGAGACGGCAAGGCCCATTGGATGACCCTATCCTCTGCAAGCAGGTGGTTTTCACTCCACTTTCATGTTTGTCTTCCTGGGAGTCTCGAATCGACTGCTTCGACCGTTTTGGACACACCAGTGAAGGTAGTGCGAATCCTCTAAGAGGCATGCTGCAGCCCTGCGAATGTGACAGCGCGATTGTCCAGTCAGGTGCGCCTCAGCGCCGACTTGATTGCCATGAGCGCCACCATCAGCAGCTGTGCAGCAGCGGCACAGTGGCAACGGGCGCTCAGGCGCTGGTCCCGCGCGGGCGCGCGAGTAGCGCGAGTGTCTGAGGGGACCCTGATTATCCACATGACATCAGCTGCAAGTTTGACTATCTGATGCCAGCAACGGAGCTCCACCATGCTCTCCCATGATCCACCATGCTGCACCATGCTCTGCCCTCCCAATCAGCAGGATGATTTGGTTCTTCACATCAGGCGACGAGATGTGAAGAACGATGTTCTGCATCCATGTCCGCAATGCCACGTTAGACTGATTGATAAGCCTTCCCCCAAGATGAAGAGGTTTTGCAATTTAAATGTCTGGGCGGTGGGGTTTGATCAAGACTCAAGAGATTTTGGTGCACAACTGCCCCAAACTGCCCCCCCCGAGCTAGTTCCTGATCCAGAGGGCTCTTCAGACGGGTCTTCACCATCCAACATGATGCTTTGGGAAGCCGCAAGTCGTTTTTTCCAAAATCAACATCCAGTCAACCAGCCAGGTTCGCTTGCTTTGTTTTTTTCCTGCTGAGCTGGAGTTGCGGCTCATCCTCGAACTTGAGGTGGCCCAAGTGCTGCATTCACCCTCGATAGAGTGCTTCAATACACTCCTAGGCACTATATATATATATACTCTATATAACACTAGAGTTTGGACAGTGACCAGTCACTGAGCAGGTCAGTTTACTACGTTGCCAAGTGAATCCATTCTCCCAAATCTCCTATTCTCATAGTGATATTACATTCACACATGATCCACGCCAAAACAAGCACCTAAGTGGCGCGCGCCGTCTGTGTGCAGGTACCTTGTAGAGCTACCACAGGCCAAGCTGGAGGCAGATGCAATGACCTACCATGCAGTGACCAGTGCCCTTGTGAAGCTCGAAAAGATTCCAGGGATGGGCGGATGGCGAACCCTGCAGAGAACTCAAAATCCAACGACTTCCGGTGCTGGGGCGGTACTGTGTGTTTGGAGTCTTTTGGAGGGTGCCTTAGGGATCGGACCTGGCGAAGAAACGCCCAGAAAACGCCCAACTCTGCTTGGTGAACTTCACCCTCCAAATGTCCAGCTGATCGCCGGCCCCAATTTCTGTGACTTCTTTGAGAATTCCTTGCTGAAAACCGCAAGTCTCTCCTGTTCCAGGCAGGTAGCTGCTTGGTGAACAAGCCTGCTCGGTGGGTGGGTGTCTCTACCTTTTAGGTGCTTGCATCGTTCGATGGTGGTCCTCACATGGAGACAGGATGTCAATCAATGTCCTTACATGAACAACAGTCGATTTTGGACCATCCCTCCTAGGTCCTATGCAAAAATCCCATTCAGTTTTCGGATTTCGCCTCGCAAACATGCGCTATTCTCTGCCTCGCCGCATTCGCGGTGCGCATCGCTCCTTCCAGGAAGGGTGAGAGCTTGGAGCTCGCGATGAAGCTGTTGGAGCAAATGAGCAGTGCCAGCATGGCCAATGAGTCCTGGAAGTGACCGATCGAGGAGATCGGTCTAGCACCCCACATATGTGGAAGGGCTTTGAGGGGCGGACCGTCGGACAGTTCGCAAGTGAGTGTGGGTGGGTGTTTCGTTTTTTTTTTCCCACTTCTGACCAATCCGCCAAACCCTAAAATCCATTTGGCCCCCATTGCCAGTGTGGAAGAAAAGGGGACTCCCGCCACCGAAGAAGGGAGCTTTGCCATCCTAATTGCGCCCTTCACACCTTCCTGTGGATGTTCATCAATTCCTGTCTTGGGAAGCCGTTGCTTTCACACCTTCCTCAGTTGCATGCGTGAAGACTCAGTGGGGTTTTCTTCGGCCAAGTGTTCTACTTCTGCAGGAGGTCCTCCGGAGGCCGAAGAGGAAGTGTTTCGGATCACCTCGGATCCTCCGAAAGAAGGGGCGGACAACAGCACGACCTGGAACATGACCGTCCTATTGGTCGTTCCACGGTCCAGCACGGTCGTTCCTCGGTTTGTTCGCACGGTTCCATCCGGACCCCAACGACCTGAAGGTGGTGTATATGACCCCGGCCCCGAGCGGGTCCGGTGCATGTTTTGTGCGCAGCGTCCGGTTCCTGCCATGGTCCAGCGTCGCGTGTCGAGGACACGCGACGAGACATGTGCCAAGGAGGTCACCTATTCCAGAGTCATCCACCTGACCGTTTCACGCGATTGACCCGGATGACCATGATGTAGACTCTTGATTCATAAAGATAAACCCTCCATAACCCTCCAATATGATGACCAATTCAAATTGGTGGGTTCATGAATGCAAAAAAGAGCCTACATCACAAACACACCGCGCTGGCACGACAACCGTGTGGAAGCGAAGGGACCTTTACGGCGTTGAAATTGGCAACGCAGGCCGTGGTTGTCCGTGGCAGAAAAAGTGGTCCTTTGCCTTCCAACTTGTTTGCGATGCCGGGTGCGGCAGAAGGAAACACTGGGGGCTTTGCCGACAGGAAACCTGTGGTTGACCGGGGCCTAGAGGTCATATTATTTCTTATTTTTGGACCAACCCAACCACTGATCTCGGTGGAAAAACAACATGAAGCGGCATGTGAATCAAACTAGTAACTAGAAGCTACTAGGTGGAGGCCATCGCTATTAGGTTGGACGCCACCGCTACTATAGTAACAATAAAGCTTTATATTAGAAACCTTTGGAGTCCGCTCATAAGATAGAAACTTGAATGGTGTAAAAACAAATAGATGTATCCCCCGGCTGCTCCAGCGCAGCAACCACCCGATGACGCAGCTCTACAGGCTGATGATCGAGGTGGGCGGAGCACGGGAACCGCGTTCGTGAGACACCGGTGAGACACCGGTCGGGTTCGATCCTGTGAGAAGGTTTTCCTCTTGGAGCCATGGAGTTTTCCAGATGTCACCAGCACAAGATGTCGCAAATCAGTAAGCAAATCCACCTTTTTAGAAAAGGTTCAATCCATTTCAATCCTTGACCTCTTGGAGTCTTGGAGCTTCAACATGTCAGGAGTATGTGATATTTTGTGATCACCTGTTTGACTCATGCCGACCTCCTTCCGGCCACATCGCACAGCACCCGTTTTGGGATTTCTTTTCAAACACTCACTCCACTCCGCTCCGCTCCACTGCACTGCACCGCCCCGCACCGCACCACACCCCAAACCCTTCGGAAGTTCGCTTATGCAGGAGAAGACGATGAGGACAAAGCCGACAAGTTCGGGAGCCCAGGACAAGCCGAAGGCCAACGACCCGTGTGGGCAACGGACCAGCGGAATGGTCAGAGGATCGAGGCCGGTAGGTCTCGGTAGGTCTCGGTAAACACCGGAGAGTCCGAAAAGACAAGGAAAAAGGAAGAAGAGAAGGGAGACAGAAAGGCAACTTAGGAGGACTTTGTTGCAGCCCCCACCCCCATCCACCCCCATCTCCTGACCCCGAAGACAGAACAGCAAACTCGAGTTTTATTTTTTGGGAGTTGGTTGGGGTCGAGGGTTTGGGCAGGGTGTCAGGCTGCAGAAATGGGGGTGATGTATTTTCGCATTTGAGATCAGCTTCGATGGTGCGGTCCTCCGCATGGATGGAGGGGGTATGCCGTGACCCGGCAGACTGGACTCTAGTCGATGGCCGACTCACTTGGATCATGCACCTGTTGGTAAGGGCCCCGTAGACCTCGTCTACAGGTTCCGAAAGAATTATCCGTTCATATCCGTCAACATCAAAGGACCAAAGCTTGATCGTGCATAAATAGGTTGTTGTGATTTCCAGTCTACAGTCGGTTTCTATCTGTATGATTTCTTATTTGACTTCCAGAGAGCTGAGCTTCGCGAGCAAATCCGATATTCCCATCCATTACGGATCGAGAGACCTTGTGCAACAGACATCTAAAATTCACCCAGAGTGAGTGTGCCATGTCGCTGGCCTTGGCTTGCCTGAAGGTGCCCTCGAGAAACCTGAAGAAGCCGGCAGATTGAGTCATATTGAAGTACCCCCCCCGCAAACTATCATGGAACCCGAAAATGGACCGATGGAAGACCATTTCCCTCTACACCCCAGTGTTTTTGGGGTTCCATGTTAATCTGCAGGGGAGTAGTGGAAAAGACTGGTGTCTCCTTCAAACAATTCAATTCAGGTGCAACAGAGTGACAGATCTACCGATCTCACTGAGATACCTGGAGTGTTCTGTCCGTTCGGTGTAGTTCGGTGTAGTTTGGTGTAGAGTGTCTCACTCAGCAACTCTTTTGCAGGATAACCGGTAGAGGTCCGACCTAGTTGCACTATGGCCTTGCCTGGTGCAACCTTCCTGAGGATGGACCTCTCAGCTGGTCGATCACTTCACTTGTTGGTGATTGCGGGACATGTGGCTAGTCAATTCGAGTTCTTTTTTTGGGCCAACAAGTGGTTGGATTGCTTAACCTATCCCGTTCGCCAGCTCAGCACAGAGGTAGCAGCTGGAATTCCCATGATTCGTTCCGAGCAGGGCATGGCTCTGAAAGAAACACGGCACCAGGATGTTTGACCTACCTGGGAGCTCACAGAAAATGCTTTAATCCATCCCCATCACTGCTTGCTGTCAAGGGTCTATGATTTCTTCAGCAAAGAAAACCTGAAATCATCCCTGATCCATGAAGTTCATCAACTTTCTTGGAGAAAGAGTGCCACAAACACTGCCATCTTCTACCTGGGCTCCGTTTCGCCCACCGCAGGTGACACCCACCTACTCCGTGGCGGTGCACGGCCGCCGCGCCGTGGCCGCCGCGCTGGGCGCGTCGTCGCCGCGGCTGCGGCCGCTTGGGGCCGCGACGCTGCTGCTCGCCGCGTCGCGCAGGGCACCGCTGCGGAGGTGCCGGGCATGGTTCGCATGCGCAAGACGAAACCGTTTTTTGAACGGCAGGGCAAGAAAGAATCATACAGCAATTCAGCAAGGTTGACATGAGTTTCAGGGGTAAGTTGAGCGCACGCATTGGAAGTGACCCTGGAGTGCAGAGAATAGTGAGAACAACAATTGCGTGGCATCCATCCACCATCGACGCGCCATCAGCATCCCTTCTTCACCCCCATGATGGCGAGGGTGGCGGGTCAAAAGCGTGCCGCCACACGAATGACCGCCGCAGTGACGACCATGCTGCATGCTGTTCAATTTGCCGTCACTTTTGTGCAATGGATGTGACCACACGGCACCGCCAATTCCCCCCCAAATTCACCATCCATGCCACTTTCATATAGAGTTTAACTATAAGATGCACAAAAAAAGACACCCACCGCCTGCACGTCACACTTCTAAAAACACCTTCCATTTCTGCCATCCCAAACACTCCCGTCTTCGAGGCCGCCCGTCTTCTCCGAGGCCCTCCGCTTCCCGCACCGCTGGAACCGCCGTGCTGGGCTCCGCCTCTTCCTCCGCTCCGCCGGGTCTCGTCGAGGCGCTGGCCCAAGCGGGGCTCGGAGGAACCGCCGCGTCGGAGGCGGCACTGCGGCATGTGGCGGAGCGGCGGGCGGAGGAGCTGGTGGAGCATTTGGAGGAAGTGGTGGGTAGCTTGGAGTGGAGGGAGATTGATGTCAAAGTGCATGTTGTTGCCGTTTTGTCTACATGTCGTCTGTTGGTGTGTCGGATTTTTTCCCCAAACTAACACTAGGGGTTCTTACGGTAGGTGTTAAGGACGGGTGTCTGATCGAGGTGCTCATCGCCGTTTGCGGCTAATTCGCTCCTATATACAGGACATTCATTCCCCTGGAGATCTTCGAAGTGCATTTCGACTGCGCCGGCTCGCAGAATCTGTTGACTTTTCGTGATAGGTGCTTGTACGTCGATGTACAGATTTCGTGGCAGGCGCAGTACTTTGGACATTGTGGTGGCCTTCGGCGTGCTCTGATTTCGTGGCAGGTGCAATGAATCGTGACATCTCGACATGTGGCTCCCTTCAGTCGGAAACCGGAGGAAGTCTTGAGCGAAAGCTGCGTTTTGGCATCTTGATGTTGTCTTTGGAAGCGGATGACCTTGGGTGGGTTTAACATGGCTTAACCAGTGGGACTCCTAAACAGGAAACTTGCATTCTTTCCGGTATAGAGAAAAGCGTCTATGCTTAACTGAACATCATCTTTTCGCACTCAGGAGAGGGGAAGTTGCTGGATGCAGGATGGCTGCAGATGGGTAAGGAGGAGATTCGGAAGAAGCTGGCAGAGATTTTTACTGGATATTTGCTTGAAATTCATCAGATTGTACAGGTCTCTGACGTGCCTGGGCTTTCCGCAAGCAGAGTCTTTTGCAGGGCTTTACCAACCAGTGAGGTTTTATTTGCCATGACTGAAGAAAGTAGATGGCGCCCAGCCCTGATATAATATCTACATGATGTATCATAATGTGCACCATGCCGTATCCTCATGATTCATTCGCATGTTTCTTGTTCCATGTTTATTTTCTTAAGAATGTCGCCGCTGCATCGCTGTACAGAGACAACATCAGGGTCAACCTGTATGTGAAGTCCAAATTATAGCTGGAAAACAGTTGATGAACTCTCCAGAGACATGGTGGATGTTTTTGTGGTTTTGGTGTGTTTCGTGGTGGTTTTACTTGGAACATTGGTGGGTTGGGATGTTTTTTGCAACGAACACTCGATAAGCCGGCTTTTCCACGAAAACATACTACAGCCAACATCAGATAGAGGAATTGGTTGCGGCCCGGGCTAATTCAATTCTGTTTGTGCTTGCTTCTTAAGGGTGATTATTTTGCGATGATGGAACTAGTTCCAGAAAATGTGTATATTTATATAGAATTTGTTTAAAAAAAATATATGTATAGTTCTAGTTGATTTTAGATGCCTTAGATTCTGGAAGCAAGTGAAGAATCCCATAGGTCCCAAGAAGTTGAACATTCAGTCTTGACCAACCAGAAGAGTTTGTTTGGCGTGTGTTTGCATCATGTACTTTCCACTGTGGCCATGCCTCTCAGTTCAGATGGCAAACCCTTTCATTAGGTGTCCTACATAGATGCGAACACGAACCTGGTGAAAAGCTATGTCTTGAACATGCCCTATGGATCCACATCTCATCCTTTCGAGGGGAGGCATTTTGATGTAGGCGCCAGGAGGGTCCAGTCGTACCGAACCCGAGGTACGGTGGATCCGTGAATCCCGGACGGTTTGGATCCATATGGCACCATCCAAACCTCCTGAGTCTTGAGTCTTGCGCCCAAACCGGCTTTCGTGGGAGAACCGAACCAATCGCCGGATTTCCAGACCCTTTTCTCCCGCGAGGTCCAATCTACGAAGCTTGACTCACCCCTCAACCGGCTTGGATCATTTTCACATTCCCTAGAGTCGCTCCAACCCCCCAAAGCTGTGTCCAAACCACCTCTTCCAACCCTGCTCGAACGAACCCTCCCCCTCCCCAGCACCCCGATCGGGAGGCCCCCGATCGCACCCCGCGCGGACGTCGCTTGGACGGTGCCGCGGCTCGGACGCCCAGGTCTTCAACGACCTCAGCGTCCCCTGCCGCACCTGGCGTCGCCCCTGGGCCGACGCCCTCGTCGCGGCGCATCACGCGCGACAGCTGTGGGCACCACACCTGGCAGTGGCGCAGGAGGGGGACTTGGAGGGACCGTGATGGATAGCTAAGAGGACATAAGGGTCGGAGAAATTGGAGCAGGAAGAGCTTGAAGAAATCGATGTTTCCAGAAAGCTTGAAGAACTAGGGCCGTTGAACAGCGGCCAGCATCCATAGAAGAGTGATTGTTTGCTATCAGCATGGATGGTCCAAGTCCCACGTGGAAATCAGGTTCAAGTTAGATCTCGTCAGGTTCAACAATTTGTGACAGGGTCAAATGTTGGAAAGGGAGCTTGGGCCAGGGGAAAGCCACCTGCTACAAGCCACCTGCTATATACAAGTTCCTCCGCTATGCACACCCTCGAGTTTTGTGCCACAAAACTGGAAACCACATATGTTTCCCTTTTTAAAGGACCCTGAACACCGCCGAAAGAGGTGGTTCTGACTGACATAGTGTCGGTCATGGACAAAAACACAGTTCTCCCATGTTCTCCCTGTACTTGGCCACTTGGCTGCGACGTGAAACTGTTTACTAAGTTCCTGGTCATCGTTGGACAACAGTTATGCAATCACGTTTGGTGCAGATTCTTTCATGGAGGCTTTGGCTGTTTTGTCAATCTGTGGATAGAAGCCCAGGCGCTTTGGCTGAGCTAGGCTGAGCTTGAGGTAGGAGATCATCTAGGTTTTGCATCTCTGGGCATGGCAATCTGAGCTCTCTGGCAATCAACGTCCGCTTTTTGAATTTGAAGATTCGTTCGCTCTTTGCAGAGTGGCGGGAGAAGAGATGGATGGCCCCACGAATGCTGACCGCCCCAGACATGTGCCTTTGCAGCCATGTTCCTCCGATTCCACCAGACAATCCGGATGAGGACTTCAGCCAGTTGAACGCTCTGGGCCTCGGGTATCTCGCATGATCAGACCAGCGGGGATGGATGGAACAGTACTAGATGGGTGTGTGAGCTTGAATAGGGAGACACATCAAAGAGACACCCAACCAAAGGGGTGGAAACATGTGGCAACCTGTAGCATCTCAGAGAAACATGTTGAAACATAGTTGCAACCTTATCCAGATACACTTATAGCTGTCGATAGTCAGATAGCCCCCCCTGTACTCATCGTTCTTGACGCGGTACTTGTTCGGCGTCCGCTACAGCCATCCACAAGTCGTGGTGCCCAACCAATGGGGTTTTGGGGTTTTGGTCTATTTTCATCTGATCTATTTTCCTTTTCCAGGGGATCGGTCGCGGAGATCGATCGCCCTATAGATCAATCAGGAAATCTTTAAGGGGGTTTCGCGGATGGGAAGACCTGTGGGAGCCGTGTTTCGATCTTTCTTTTGCGACCTGGGTCTTTTTTTTTTTGCGAGGTTTCAAGATGCTCCAGGTTGACAGGCATTCTGGTTTGGAATGATCTTGAGTTGGTGGTGTTTGTTGATGAAACAAATTGGTCGACTGTGTTGGCATTGCAGCTTCGTAATAGGCAAACGACCTCCCCTGGTTGGGGACTTGTGGTGCGATTCAGTGTGGCACAGGGCCCTTCCCTACCTTCTGGAATTGAGATCTCTTAGGTACACTAAGGTGTTTTGGACATTTTGGGGTCCAACCAATTTGTTGAGGAGGTTGAAGGGTCATTTTCAGGACTAGGATGATATACTTCATGTCGTGTCTGCCCGAACCGGAGTCGAAGTGGGGTGCTCCAAAAGTCATAGCCCACACATACACACCCTAGGGATCCACTACCTGGACCCTCCAGTCGTACACATCCAGCCTAGAGTGTCCTTGGACACCTCCGTACCGAGGGTATGTGGATCCATATGGACAGGCAGAAACACTAGGTATAGAAATGGACAAATTGTATATAGTAATATATAAATATATAATATATAGACCAACTTTTAGTTGTGTGTGGCTTCTTTCCTTTTTTTGACACACCCACCCATATCGCTTCCACTCTGCGTCCACCAATCTTGCCATGATCGGTCGAGAGTCCAGGTGCATCGTTCTGGATGGCATGGTGCCACCTCAGCTGGCTGCGGATGCTCACGCGGAGCTGGAGCAAATGGCCCAAGATGGGACACTTGGACGTGGTGCTCCAAACGCACGAAAACGCGGTGGTGCCGGGGAAGAGATGCTGAAGAGGAGTTGCGTGGTCCTCAATGACCGTGCAAGTGCAGAACAATGAGCGTGCTGTGGCACTTGGGTGACTGTCACATGGGTGACTGTTCCAACGTGTTTCCTTCTTGAGCTTGAAGCCTTAATTACGTAGCTCCTCTTGGATGCAACATGATGCAACTATACAGATCATAGCACAGTTGCCTTGGATTTTGGAAAGAAAACAGTGCTATTTCAACTGGCATAGCTATAGGATGCTATAGGAATAGCACAGCTATGACATATCTATTCCAACTCGCCTCCGTGTCTGTGTTCGACCGTGCCGGTGGAGGGTCGGATAGGTTGGTTAAGAACTCAGGAAGCTGAGCGACTTCTCGCAAAGAAGCTCGGCCATGAGGGAGAGAGAGAGAGAGAGTGTGTGGTTTCTTGAAGCTCGAGCAGTGACAGATCTTCACTCCGATGTTCGATCATTTCTTGTATTTTTTGTCACCATGGTCCTTTTCGATCTGAACCTGATGTCATGTGATGTCATTATATGTCATTATAGTATATAATAATACATATATACACATATTTGCCGCATGGATGGTGCATTCTCTCTGCTCTTCATCTCGAGTTCATAGTACCTAAGGTACCTGCAACCCGGGCTCCCGGCACTTATGGCTCCGTTTTGCCGGACCCGGCAGCGACGGTGACGGCCTGGTACCTCCGGCGCTGGCGACGCTGGGAGATGCCTTGGCGGGGCTGCCAGGGGCTTTGGAGGAACGGGCTCGCGAGGTGCAGTTGAGTTCTCCTCGCGCCTGGGATAGTCGCGGATGGATTTCTTGATATTTCTTGGATAGGATGGTGGAGCAGACGAATTGTTATTGTCAGGAGTCAGTAGCTGAATTTTGGATCATTTTAGCAGGATCATTGTTTGGTAAGGACATAAAGATGAAATGACAGCAGCCGTGGGGGGGAGGTTGGATGCTTTTCTGGATTTGACTGGGGAGGGTTACCTATCGGTGGATGGATTCAGCAAAGGGAGCCGGGTTTTTCAATTTGATGATTTGGCTGTTGCTTTATGTTGTTTTATCGTAGGTTTCTGCAGATGGTTGAAGTACACTCCCTGAAACGATCATGGAAGTGTATGGCATGGCCCTTTGGATTGCCAGTTTCCATACCAAACAGGTGGTTTCAAACACTCCACTTCGATGATTCGAAAGGGAGCATCGAATAACTGAACTCAACTTGCTGCTCGCGACGAGACTCGTCGATCTGCGACACGTTTTTGGATGAGTCGATCTGCCCAAGGACTTCGTATCGTGCCGAACTTGATGGCTGCCACCTACGGACCGGGAAGCCATTATGTGCCGCACAAGGACATGGGCAGAAATGGGAGTGAAGGGAAGAAGCGGAGCATCACATGACCAGTTCGGAGCATCACCTGAACTTTAGTGTTGATTGTTGAATCTTAAGTTGAACCAGATGTACCGTCGGAGTCACAAATTAAGGGGTGGTTTCTATAGTCCCATCCAGGGGCTGTGGATGTGACAAGGGCACCCCGACTTCCTCCAAGTTCGGCATCCCTTGGTCACTCCTAGGGGGTCTAGACCTGAAGACGGAAGACGGTCAAACGGGCGTGAAGCCTGGACGGGCGTGGTGAAGCTTGTCGTTAGGGCCGGTGGTCGCGACCGGTAGTCGAGAGCAATCACCCAAGACCACAGGCCCCTGGGCCATGGGCTTCAAACATCATGATGAGTGAATACTTGCAGATGGCATGTCCAGTGCCGGCTGCTGCATGCAAGTTGAAAGATCATGAAAGATCGCATTGGGAGTCTAATTAAGTGTCGGAACTGATTCCTGTTCTGGGTACCTCATTTGTCAGACCAGTGGGTCGTGGATCACCATGTTTTCTGCCAGCTCATCGGTCGTTTCGTACCACATTTCTTACGCCAAACGGTCGACGACATGCGACGACATGCGACGACCGCGAAGACACGCGAAGACGCGGTCGCTGCCGAAGACGCGCCAGTCGCGAATGTTCTGGACAGTCTCAGTTGCATCCGACAAGACTTATGGACAGGGTATGAAGTGATAGGGGCACTATCAATTTAAATGGTAAGGTTCTGACTTGGTATGGTTTACAAGACATAGAATTGATCAAACAATTGCATAACCAACAGGAGCCAACTGCCAACGTCTATCCCTCATTGAATGTAGCTCATTGCTTGCATTCCACACTGCAAACCGGTCGGGCCGACCCCAAATACTTCGGGACACAAAGAAGTTGGTTTTTCCTTCACCTTGCCCACTGCCCCCAGATGGTCCTCCCACCCCACCCCACAACCCGGCCACCGAGCACCATATCACCGTGACGCCTCAGCTCCCGAACCACGTGAGTGAAAAACCAGCTCTGACGAGCTGAATTCCGCTCATTCCGCTTGCATGTGCCGCTTGAATTCATGAACCGCGTGTTCCGAACTCGTCCGGGGTGGCATGGTGATGCATGGTGCAAGGACATGTACAGCGGTGGCAGCTGTGGATTTGAGAACACTCGGTCCCTTGGACCTTGGACCGGGCGGTTCGGAGAGTGCGGTTCGGAGAGTGCGAGAGTGGGAGAGTGGGGAGGTGTGGACCAATAGAGAAGCCTGGGAGGTTGCTGATGGTTGATTGGTTTGTATGGGACTTTGCTTTAGAGAAACTAACATCATCATCACAAAAAAAAATAAAAAAAAACAACAACACACCCATCCACAGAATTCAAACCTTTGGGCTGTGTTCCAAAAAGATGCAAGCTGGAGGCGGAACATGTCGGATATTCTTTACGAGCTAGTCCTACTCCGGCGTCATCGTTGGCCGGAGTGGGGCGGCGAGTGAAGTGACGCCGAATCCGAGACCTGTAAAACAGTTCTGCGATTCTTTGGGTGGAACATGACCCGCATTTGGCCATTTCTTGGCACACCGCTGGTTTTCTGCACCTCGACGGCTGAGCTGTGCGTATTTTTCGGTGTCTCAGGGGCTCGCCCCCTGCTAGTAAGACCCCGGGTCTCCATCTTCTCCAGAGGGAGCCGCTACGTTCACTCCAAGGGTGGAGACTTCACGGCCCTTCACGGCTCGAACGGCTCAAGCGCGCGGCTCAAACGCACGTTCATGGCCAGCCATGCTGACGTATGCCTTGGGCCTTGGGCTGTTGCTTTTGGCAGTGCTACATGTAGCCTGTCTCAAGCCGGTATTGGCATTGGGCTGCGTTAACGACGGTCATGACCGTGGTTCCCCGTTGAACCCCTAGTAGAAGAGGAGATTTGGTGACAATCCCAATGAGAAGCTGGAATCAGTCAGGTTGCAGCTGGAATCAAATGGTCCAGTCAGCTCTTGACAGCTGTTTTCGTCTACCCACAAAAGCGCGGTTCGCAACGGTGTTCCCCACCTCTTGCAACGGATGCTGCTCTCTCTCTCTCTCTCTCCAGGCGGATGGGGGGCGCTAGATCGAAACAAACCGGTCCTGGATCGCTCCAGGTGTATTTGTAGTTATGTCATGTATGTCTCGTAAATCCATATGGAACCAAGAGCATCCGATATTAACATCAAGCAACTCTGGGCTGTTTGCAACAGGCCTCTGGGGCAGTTCTTGTGCCAAAAACGGCCCTTTTGTGGCCAATTTTGTGTTGTTTCAGACAATCTCAGTACCGGTCCATATCAATTATATAGCTACGGCATGCTACGGCCATGTCACCCCCAGCTGTGGATGGTGACCAGTGGGGATTACCAGGTAAACTGGTTGTTAGTTAAGTTAAAGTCAAAAGCTGGCGGCACCAAGGAAAAACAAGCAAGACATCCACAAGATACATCACTTCTTTCGTAGAGAAACCCCTTTCTTTGGATGGCAAAGAACATGAGGTTCTTGCGGGGGCCTCTACTTCTTTCTTTTCAGGCACCCCTTTCCTTGTGTCTTCATGTCTTCAAAGACATGAATTAAGAAAAAGCACTAAGAGGAGGGCGCCGCCCAGCAGTCACAAAGGGGTGCTTAATGGAGGTTAGGTGTGCCCATTATCCACTCACTTGGGGACCAAACACCACCCCGACATGTGACTCCTGGACGTTTGATATGTTTCAGAACCCGCCGCGATGGTCGAACCAAACCCACAGCTACCGCCTCACTACCGCCTCTCGCCGCTGGCGTTGAAGTATCCCAGACACGACCTGTTTGGGACTGCCAGTCCGGACTGCCGCCCCAGCCAGACCCCCAGTGAACCACTCCAACTGATCGGCATATATGACAGACATGGAGTGCCTGGGTATAGTTACCTAGCACTTCCTGTCTGGATGCCCTGTCTGGAGACCGGTAGGGTAGGGTTGTCCAGCCAGGTCACCGGTTGGAAGCAGCTGGTATATATACATTTTGATAACAGGAAAGTATCTTGATACATCCAGCATAACAGGTTTGATTCCTTTCTTGTCCTAATGGATCTATGGGAAATGGCTATATATATATATATATCTGAAACACCACAAATCTTCAAGACTTCAAGTCCCAACTCTAGAGCCTGAAGCTCAAACGCGCTGTTGGATGCTTGGGCTGCAGGTCTATATCACACAGCCCAGTTTCGCGGCAGGCCTAGCCGTTGCACAGAGTCTCATACCGCATACCCAAGTCGATGCCCGAGTCGTTGCAACCGACGGGCCGACGACAGGGTCCGGACCTCGCGTCGTCTCGAGGTCCGGTCGGGTGTTTTTTGGTTCTGTCTCGGGCGCACACGGTGTCTCGGCCTGTTGGGTCTCACCCAAAAAAAAGCAAGCGCACGCGCACACGGAATGACCGTTTTTCATCATGGGTGAAAGGCAGTTCTGTTTTTAAATGTCTTTTTTTGATGTTTTTTTGCTTTTGTTGGATGGAGAGTCTTGGGCACATTCATCCCTTTCAGATTGTTTGGAAGAGAAACCCAGAAAGAGGGTCAACAGATCTGAGTATTAAACAGCTGGTTGATCGGTAACACCTATGCACTTTGCGGTGCCTTACAGCTTGGCGCGTCCTCGTCCATGCCGCGTCCGCCGCGTCCCTCCATCCGAATCGTTGCCTCAACTCGGTGGCGACGAAACCACTCCGGGCCTTCCGGGAGAGCGAACGGCAGCGAACGGCGCGATGCGTTGGCATGTGTCGTTTTCGCTGTGTCATGTCCTGAAGAGATTAACTTAGTTCATCTGACACTGATTCGCAGCGAAAGAAAGCAAAGTTATTTTTTTTTCGTCATTCTCTCCATATACCACGCCATAAGAAATGATTTCATAGGTGGGACTGTCCCACTTAAGTATGGTATAGCATCCCCTCCAAATGTTGAACCTGAGGAAGATCTAGAAGTGATATGAATTATATTATATGGGTTTCTCTTGCACAAGTTCCAGACAGTTAAACATCTCGGACAGGTCGCGCGTTCTTGCCCTCTGCCTTCGGAAGGGGATTCACAACAATTTTTATCCAATGAGGCAGCAATTCCACTGTATTCGCAAGCTGTAGCTGGGATTGCTCACATGGAAGTACAAGATTGGTCGGGGACGTGACCTCATCATGACCGGAACCATTTTAAGACCAATTATGATCTGCATCAGATATAGTTAATGATTTAACTAGCAACAACAGGAGCAAACTTGCCACACAGTCCTCAGCACCATCGGAAACCACCCCACTGCGCAGTGCCACAGCAATCTGGATCATCCAGAAATCAACACCAGGACGATGACGTTTGGAACAACATCCAACACCCATTTTGGACACGTGTCTGTCCATTTTCAACGCTCCTGGCTGTTCCATCATGGCTGTTCCAGGAAGTCCTGGCTGTTCCATCTGATACGCTTCTGCACTGATGTTCCTGCCGACGTCGGCGAGTCGACTGGACGACCAAACGATATGAGGTATTTACAAAATTCTATCGATGTGTTTGCAAATATGTGCGATCTGTCGCGTCTAACTTCTTAGTATTCCCATTCGTATCACACCCCCCCAAAATAAACAACATATACCAGCCTGGACCTTCAAGGGGTGTCCTGTCTGGAGGTCCCTTAGTGGTGGGCTGGGGCTTCCAGCCAGGTGACCCCTTTGAAGGTGCTGGAGGTAACATTAAATTTGCGCATATTCTCTCTGTTCTTTCCGCAGAAGCAGCGCAGAAGATGCTTCGAGCGCAGCGCTTCGAGTCGAGGAGATGGTTGGCGTCCCACTTCCGGGAGGAAGAGGGAGTCGACCTTCATCGGCGACAGCGGGAGGAGGACGAGCTCTTCAGAATCCGGGTGGAATTGATGTACAAGGCAGCAAGGGTTCTTAGGGTTCTTGTACAAGCCACACCTGGGTCGACCTGGAGAGAGACATATGAGTCATTTTCTCTCCCCCGTGCTGCGGGTTCGTCCGAGCTCATACGATGGGTTCGTTCCGTGACAGCAAAAGCTTCGTCCCCTTTGTTTCCTTCCAATTCATCTTGGGATCTCCCACAGATCCCAAAACTGCTGCAGGTGGCAAGGCTCACGGTCCACCTTATGTGGGTACAAGTCTTGGCTGCCTGGTGGTTTGGTGGAGGTTCGGAGTGTCACAGATGGGGTTCTCAGGGTTGGGCAATGGGCTGGAATGTCCAGGCTAGAATTGTCCTTCGTAGCAAATCTTTGGATACCATCTTGAAACAGACATATATATATATATTTACATGTTAATTACAAATTAGTTTTGATATAAAACACTATTTTGTTTATACTAAATAACCCCTTCGGTCGGGGGGCCTTCCCTTTTGAGTTAAAGAGACAATTCTGGATATCGATTCCACTTACAATCCCTCTTTCCTGCTGATGCATGAACCTCCTGGCATGAAAGCTTTGAACATGAAGGGTCACCGCAGCCCTTTAAATGGAGTCGATGTGCTCCATCAAGCCCGTGACATCGGGTCAAGACTTCAAAGAGCGAAGAAAAGAAGAGACAGTTTTTGAGGGTTTTGGAACTAGGTGTTTGGGAGACCCTAGGCACAGGACCATGCCTGACCAACAGGTTATGAGCCCAACGCAATCCTGTTTTTTTTTTTTTTTTGTGGGGTTCTTAGGCTCACTGTAGGAGGTATGCAACTATGTGCAACTGTCTGTCAAGCACAACCTGAAACGCTTTTTGATGTATATAAGTTTAGATTATGTCGAACGATACCTTCCGATTTTCCTTTGGAGTGCTTTGTGTATGGAAACGAGACACACGGTGTTAGACTGGACCCAACATTCAGGTGGCTTTACCGAACAATTTTTTTTGAAGACCGGGTGGACCAGGTAGAGTAGACTGCTCAGACCAGGTAGGTAGACTGTTCAGCTGACCATGGTAGACCAGGTAGACTCCACCTGCTATGAGAACCATCTTGTGCTCGGCCGCAAGTGGTTTTCTCTTTTCGCACGAGGCTTCAGCGTGGATACTTTCTCAGCAGCCAAGCTTGTCTTCGAGCGTGCAGTTGCTCTCCACGCTTTCGACCCACTGCGTGGATTTGGCTCTGGTCTCAGGGATTGCAAAGAGACTTGGAAGAACTTGAGGCTTCAGCTGAAGCA